GGCGGCATCTCATTTCTTGACATCCCAATTTGCTAACAAACAAAGGTTGGTGGGGGATGATGCCACAGCCAAAATGGTCCTGCCTTTCCTCCAGCTAGGGCAAGGAGGGTTTTTTGCATGACATGCCCAAAAGTAAGAGTGCATTTCTCTGTCAGCTGTGGGAGGTCCTTCCTTCTCCCCCATCTCCTTCTGCCCTCCTTCCCCCCTACTTAGGCTGCTTTTCTCTTCCTTGCCTTTTGTTCTCTCCCCCTTCCCTGCCCTAGTAGGAAGAAAGTCTCATTTCATTCTGAAAGCCAGTGATGGAGGGGGAGAGTCATTCGATGCTTAATGCCAGATCGGCAGGGAACTTCACCTTCCTGGGGGGGAATTAAAAAAGCTTGAATTGTCTGAGGATCTTAAACAAGAGATGCAGGGAACATTCAGGGCTTTTCACACAAACACACACACACACACATGCACGCGAAAGCCCACACGGCATTAAGGGTGTAATAGCTCAGCTGGGGTAATGCACTTGGTCTGTCTGCTGCAGAGAGAGTTCAATTCTTTCAGTTCTTTTGAATATTTGTTTTTTGGAGGCTGGAGGTTGCTGCTGGTCTCTGGGGAGAGAGACGTTTGTCTTGCAGAGAGAACGGTGCCATTTGTTCTTTGTAATCGCGCTTCCCTTGGAGCAGCCTGGGACTGGGAGGGGGCTGAGGGCATGGGCTGGGTTCCTCGGTGCAGCTGGAGCTTGGGGACAGGACAGGGAGCTGCAGCCAGCAGGTTGCAGCCCCCTGATGTTGGTGCAAGGAAGGAAGGGTGTGCTGGGGGGATGTCTGGTGTGAGGGATGCTCCTTGGGTGTGAATGTGGTCATCAATAGAGGTGCAGGGTGAGGTGTCCCAGGTATGTGGTGTGTGTAAGCACAGTGTGTGGAACCTCCTAGAAGCAGGTCTGGCCGTGTCATCTCACCTATAACCCATGGTGTGGGTGGGAGGTTGTCTATGTTGCCACCCCTTGTGTTTCCTGACAAATATTTCCAGTTCTCTGTGTGTGTGTGTGATGACCTTTGCATACGTGCTTAGGGCTTCAGGTGCTTCTTCATACAGGGTGGGCAAAGACCTCTGCCCTCAGGAGGGAAGCCTGCATGGGTCTTCTGCCCCTCTACTCTGCTCTTGTGAGACCACACCTGCAGTGCTGCCTCCAGTTCTGGGACCCCCAACATCAGAAGGACATGGACCTGCTGGAGTGAGTCCAGAGGAGGCCACGAGGATGATCCGAGGGCTGGAGCAGCTCTGCTGTGGGGCCAGGCTGAAAGCAGTGGG